AGATAGATAGATAGATAGATAGATAGATAGATAGATAGATAGATAGATAGATAGATAGATAGATAGATAGATAGATAGATAGATAGATAGATGACAGTCTTACCCTCTTGGCCTTCTCCCAGACCTGGTTCAGCTTCGCTATCCTGAACTCCACCGTCTGCCCATCACCTCCTCCCGGCTGCGGCTGGTTCACATCCCGGGAGTATTTCCCCGCCATGACACCCACCCCCAGACACAGAGCCGCCACCAGCCACGTCGACCTCATTATTCGAGAGAAAAGCTACACAACAACCACACAACCAACCGCCGCTGCCCTGAATTACTGGAGCTCCAAAAACACAACAAACGGCCGGTTGTTTTAGCTCTACGAACCGTCAGTCACGTGCCCGGAAGTGGGTGGCTTCTTCTGGAAGACGTGCACTCTGGGATATGTAGTCTTATGCGCCAGAGGGTTCTATACGAGTCGGTTGGAAACGAGCTTTTTAAACTACAATTCCGGGGGTACGTTGGTCAGCGGTTGCCCAGCAACGAAGCCCAGCAACGAATGGAAAGCCTCCACGCGCTCACTTCGCTGTTATGGAGGAAGCAAAACAACTTTAAATCACCGAATAAAAACTGTACAATTTTAATGTCCCGTTAATAAAGTCAAGACTCTGGACGTCGCCCTTGAATATGAAATATTGATATATTTTTAGCCGTTTTTTGTGTGATAGAAAGCTTTGATGTATGGTTTCAATGTGATGTTTTGATTATTAAGCTTTAAAACGCACAATAAAAGACAAAGTAAATTATCCGTGTCTTATATAAAGATATGTGCTCTATTCAATTGTTTGAAAAAGGCTTATATCATACTGAATTTATCTACTGTCGTTTGTTTTCTGTTGTAGTTATTCTTTATTAAAGTTTTAGTGCAGGAAATCCATGAAGCATGATGATGGTCTGGATTTTTCCACATATTTTCTTCCATTAAGTAAATAAAAATGTGATTAATCCACTTTAGAATATGTGCTCAAACACAGACGCACAAAAGCAACATAAAGATGTGTTTTATATTTATTTATGATTTCTCTATGATCATCTTTCTTGGAGCAAAATTCCGTAAAATATAAATAAAAGTGTATTCAAACGATGTCAAAACTATAAGACAGTTTAAGAGTAATTGGATTTCCAAACAGTTGTGCCGATTATTTTTTTAAAACCCAGTGTCCTACCGCTACACCACAACAAACACAATGTTCAATAAATCTACAAAACTGCTGCAGACCTGTTGTTCATCCTCAGACTTTTGTGATGAATGATTGTTGTTTTTCATCTCAGGAAATGACTGAGCATCTTCAGAGGGGGAAACGAAACGGCTCTGACATTCAGCAGACACAATCTAAAGGGATGAAAGTTTGGACTTTAATGACTATTTTTTAAAAGCATTTTCTTTAAAGCATTCTTTAAATGCAAGAATGAAACATCTGTATTCAACATTTCGATTTTTATCTGCAAAAACTTTGTCACATATTGTGTTGTTGGCATCATCGACACCAAATTTATTTCACAATTAATCACCTAATCGACAATGAAAATGCTGGAGAACAACCACAAAGGATGTGAATGAGGGAAGTAATGTTCACATAACAATGACTGCAACCAGTCATTGTTTATTCTAGACAGCCAAGCCTATCGGATTTACCCAGAGACAAAATGAAATAAAGATTCTTATTATTGACCCAGTAAACCGATCATCTTCCCAAACTTTTCTTACTGCATTTCTTCCAATACGTCACAATAACTGAACCCAATTCACTTAAACCTGAATAAAGTGGATGGAAGGATGGAGGTAATAAGTAAGACAGACGGGCAGAGGGAAAGATGTTATATTGTTCTTCTAAATTAAATTGTTTGTGAGCTTTAATATGAAGAAATGTGATACGGCTGAAGCTGGATTGAGGTGAAATGTGAGCGGGAGAGAATAAGAATGAATAACGAGCTGCTGGAGAGCAATTCACTCCAATCACTCAACAAAACAAAACAAATCGCATAATCTTCATGAGTGGTCTCAAAGCCGTAATCTACCATTTATCACAGAACTCCTTGACAACAAGAATCTGTTTTGAACTAATGAGGAACATGACCCTAGAAAACATTATTCAATGTCTGTTTAATAAAGAACTTTCAGGTCAGGATTTTATGGATTATGAAGACAAGACAGAAACAGTAATGAAACACAGGAGAGGCAAAAGTCTGATGAATATTTTATATGCTGTTTTTGTTTTTTTGTTGACTCCCATTTAACCCTTTAAAGCCTGATCCAAGAACAAAACAAAACAGAAATTTACTCTTTTTTTTGTTTGCATTCCTTATTTGGCCTTTTAACAAAATATGTAAAAAGAAAAAACAAAAATAAATTTTTAATATGAATAATTTATTACTATGCGATAAGGCAAGATTATTTTTTGTGTAGTCTTCTGCCCCCTGTTATCAGGTGTATCTGATTGTGTAAAATAGGATTTTTGGCAAAGATTTTACCATTAAATTATGCAAAATGATTCAGACGCAAAATATTTCAGAAACCGTACGTATCAATTACGATACATTTGGCATTACAGGGTTAAACTCACGCACCAGCTGCCATAGTTTGAATGGAGGAAAAAGCTTTTTAGAGTTACTAAAATGAACATATACAGAAACATGATATTTATTGTATTCTCACAGAAGTCCATTAAATTATGCAAAAGGTGTCAGACGCAAAACATTTCAGAAACCGTATGTATCAAATATGACACATTTGGGGTTATAGGGTTAAGATATATTCTAATAACTCTTTTACAGACCGTCTGCCTTATTTGACTAACAGATTTGATCAGATTTACTATCCTGTGGTTTTTATAACTCATCCTCCAATCCGTTATCACATCAGGTGGTTATTTGTATTTATGAACAGTAACACTCACAAAATAAAGTGTCTGGATTTTTGTCAGCCTCGATAACTCTCCCATCTTTAGGCTTTTGTTACGTCTCCATTTATTGCTTATTTGTGGACCAGGTTGGAGCTTTAATGAGGATCAGCTTTAATGAGTCTGTCTGCTCACAGAGACAGAAAAGGTCAAAATCTCCTTGTACGAGGCCACCAGGTTTGTTTTTTTGTTTTTTTCTTGGCCCATTAAAGCTGTTTTCAGCCCCTGGACCTATATCCATGAACCACTATGGAGAGTTATTCCAGTTAAGTAGTCAAAATAATACCATAACTCAATTTAATTAGATTATTTTGACTGACCCACAAAAATACACATTAATTAGTTTATTTCTGGATTCATTTCATGCATCCATTTTTTTTATCTATCACTCTATTCACACTCAAAAGAAGTTAAATAGTCATAATAATAAGATAAGTCAATTCAATTAGATTATTTTGACTGACCCACAGAAATACACATTAATGGTCTATTTCTGGATTAATTTCATGCATCTATTTTTTAATCTATCACTCTATTCACACTCAAAAGAAGTTAAATAGTCATAATAATAAGATAACTCAATTCAATTAGATTATTTTGACTGACCAACAGAAATACACATTAATGGTCTATTTCTGGATTCATTTCATGCATCTATTTTTTAATCTATCACTCTATTCACACTCAAAAGAAGGCTGATCCAGTCTCCACTTAAAAGTCAAATAGACATGTGCATTTGCTTTATATTTACTCTTTTTAGGCTTGTTCACTCATTCAAAATGCATGAAAACAATGCAATACATTGCAATGTATTATTAAAGCTCCCTGAATATTCAAAGCCCCAGTCATTTTTTCGAGGTGTTGTTATTATAGCAACATTAATCTCTTTTTTGGTTTCATTATATGGAAAAGTTTGGGCGAATATCAACTGAATAATAAATTAAATAATACATTTTGTAGCAGTAGACTGACGTGGCTTTCCCTCTGGTCTTCTTAACCCTTTAAAGCCTGATCCAGGAATAAAACAAAACAGAAAACAACTTTTTATTGTTTTAAGTCTTTATTAGGCTTTTTAACAAAATATGTAAAAACAAAAAACAAAAATACATTTTTAATATTAATAATTTATTACTATACGATAAGTCAAGATTATTTTTGGTGTAGTCTTCTGCCCCCTGTTATCAGGTGTATCTGATTGTGTACAATAGGATTTTGAGCAAAGTTTTTACCATTAAATTATGCAAAAGGTGTCAGACGCAAAACATTTCAGAAACCGTATGAATCAAATATGAAACATTTGGCATTACAGGGTTAAATAGCTCTGAAAAGCTCCTTCCAAAAGAGGTTTTGGGTCAGCCAAAACTACACAAAAAAGGAAGGGAAGGAGAAATATGGCGGGCGTTAAACGAGGAGAACCTTTTGTCCCGTGGCTGTTCGAGTCACAATGAGATGAACGACATATTCAATCACGAACAAAAACAGTCGTTAAGACCGAGTGAGTGCGATACAGCGGCTCCAGTTATTTAATTTTATCTGCTAATACAACTGCAGGGAACAGAAAGAGCAGACAGCACATTAAATAAGAGCCTCGCTCGCCCCGAATTAGCTCCAAGTTGACAAATCCTCCCCAAAAACTGCTCTTTCATTGCTTCCCCAACAGAACAAAAACACATTCAGCTCGTTATAGAAATGGCTTTAAGCTCCTTTTTTAGATAACTATATCTATTCAGGTCCAGATTCAAACCGCAGTGAGCTGCAAATGCCAGTGGATATTAAGTTTAGTGGATTTAACTCTTTTAAATCTAATCTGACAGCAGGTATGAGAGGTTTAACCGTGATTAATCTTATATAATTTGCCGTACATGTCCACATAAAGGCAGCAGATATATGTTTATCTATAATTTCCCAGCATGCCTCATTCTTGAAGGAATGGGTTCTGACCTCTGACATAAATGATGGAGCGTTCAGCCGGAAATGTCGGCATGAAATTGAGTTATTTTTTGCCAATTATACTGTCAATTTCTGAAGTCCAGTGGAGGATGGTCATACATAACCTGCATGGCTAATTTTTAAGAAATTAAATACAAGACATGGAGATGATTACAACAATAGGAACGTGCTGTAGAACGTGACCTGTGATAAGTGAGTCCAAACCAACCGGATGTGCAGGCTTTTTAAAAAAAACATGGTTAAATAAGGACACAGACATTATTCTGAGAGCAAAGCAGAAAGCAAAATAAAGCCGTGACAGAGTTTGGATGGCAACTCACTCTCAAAGCAAACATATCAAAACTGTTCAGTGTCTTAACCCTATAATGCC